AATCTAATCTGAGAAAGAAGATAGTATGACGTTGAACAATTTAAGTAAAATGTAAATATACTGCTCAAAAAAATAAATGGAACACTTGGAGTTAAATTGTGCTGTTTAAGTGTTCCCTTTATTTTTTTTGAGCAGTATATATCTTAAATGCCATGTGTATAGATTTCTTATCAGGACAGTGCACACCACCACCAAACAACTGTTCTTAAGTTCAGATATAAAATGGTAGTAGTATAAAAAGTAGTTAGATTTTGGTTAAACCTACAGGAAGGTAGATCTCAAGGAAGAGACTTGGTGACTACTGCTCTATATAGTGCCCTACTTTTGAGTCCACTACCTGAACAGGATCTCTAATGAACCAACCGATTTAGGACACACCCAAAGCAGGGTGATGAGATGTTTACTATCTCAATTACCTTCTCTTTCTGAGCAAAGGTTTAAAGAAGTGTCATTGGCATCACCTCAGTGAGTGATCCATATCAGAAATGCAGACAGAGGAATATAACCTGGCATCTGGCAATCACCCCAAACCTGCTGAACACACCACAGAATCATGCTCAGTATTCATCTGCTCACAGCAGGATGGAGTTTATCCCAGTTCGTCCTCTCTGACCCTCACAGTGCTCTGCAAACACCTTCTTCCTCTCCATAACCTTGTTTACCAGACACCTCAAATATGCACTTTCCTTCTTTCTCTGGCATTGTTTCCTGTGTGGAAAAATCCTCAGAGCATGTATAGGAATATATATATATTTTTTTATTCCTCAATTATAGCAAGATAGGAATGGGTGTGCACACCTCTGAGAATAAAGTAATATTTTGTGGTGTGGAGAGAGATAGGTCATCTACATTTTAGACCGTTAAAGTCTTTTGAAGACCAAAATGAAAAATCTTTGCTCATACAAAAGCCCTCACAATATGGATCAATAATTATTAATAAATAAAACATTGTTTCATGCTGTTGCAATAGAATACAGTGATGAAGCAGCATTACATTTACCACTAACAAGTTGATTATTTTCCTAGAACAGCACATCACGTGTTTTATTCCTCTTACACCAACAAGTACAATTAGAGAGAGAGAGAGAGAGAGAGAGAATAGTTATGATAACCTCTTTTGCTGTACTTTGTTTTAATAGTGATGTTTTTCTCTTTTGTTACCAAGTTTTTCGAATTAATAAAGTGATGTCTGTTATTTGTCTGAAATGATGCAGCTTGAGTTCATTTTCACGTCTCCATTTCTTCACACTTTAACATGTAATGAAAATACTAAAAAGTGCCTAAAGTTTCTCAGTTGTTCAGTGTATAATAAAGATCAGCGTGAGTGGGAGGTGAATTTTGTGTATCTGCACAAAAGTGTGTATTTGCAGTGAAAACACAAAACTACGCTGCAGTACTGGAGCTGAAACATTAAACATTTTTGTGTTTGTGTGTGTGAGAGAGAGGGGGGGGTTGTGCTCGGAGATGAGGTGATAATCTCTTGTGGAGATTATCACCTCAAGACAATTCTTATTAATTAAATAATACTTTTTACCTGCTTTTTTAGTCACACTTAAATGTTGTTAAGCATCTCTTTTTCTCACTCACTCAAAGTCAATAAGAGAGAAAATAAAAACTAGCACAGCTTTTGATATTACAAGAAACCAAAGAAGCGTAAACTCCTCCATCCTGCAGAGGTCAGAAAACTTAGTCACAGCTAAATGTCAGTGAAGATTTTATTTAAATAAAGTGCAGCTGGAAAACCAAAACCATAAAAACAAGAACCAGGACTGGAACAGAAGATAAGGCCCATAAAAACCAATAACAATAATAATAATAATCAAAAATAAATAAATAAATTAATTAATTAATTAAAAAAAACTAACCCAAACAGATTCAGCCAGAAAACAGGACTACAACACACCACAACCACAGATGCTTAAAAATGAAACGCAGAAACCAAAAGTTATATAAAGGTGCTTAATAGGCGTAACACAAAACAGGTGTGAGATATCAATGGGACGTGTGACATGGTCATGTGGCATGCAGGGGCTGATGGGTAATGTAGTTCAGTGCCAACTGTGGAATAACCATGACACTAAAGCGCTGACACAAGAGACTCCTTCCATAAACGTTACATAACATAAACATGTCCTTAGAGAAAACTTCACCATATCAATGATGTTTAATACATGTTTGTTATCAGTGGAGCGTCCACTGTACACGTCCCTGTGAATGAGCTGTTATGAGCACTAGCCGCTGGGCGGCTGTGGTGCAGGTGGTAGTGCGGGTTGTCCACTAATCGTAGCTTTGGCGGTTTGATTCCTGGCCCACATGACTCCATATGCTGAAGTGTCCTTGGGCAGGACACTGAACGCCAAGTTGCTCCCAATGGCAATTTAGCTTTTATTTTTATAAATAAACCTGCACTACTGTCAGAGCTGCTCTTATAGAAAACTAATCAACACCTTCCTTCTGACCAATCACAATCCAGGATTCAGTGGTGTAACGAAGCAATACTCGTTAGCTCAACAACAGCACGGCTCCTGATGTCATGATTCGGCACTGAAGTCTGCCTGTTTGGTCATATATGGCGTTCCAGAGTTTCAGCATCACAGAGATATTTTTTACCTTTTATAACCTTTAAATATGATCATGTTGACCAAGCCGGCTGAACCCAGATCAGCACTCGTCCTGTCCAGAGCAGGTGTTTCGAAAAATAGCTGTGGAGTGACGTAATGGAGACAGACACAAAATGTGGCATGAATTTTACAGCGAGCTGGGAATACACACTGACCTCATGAGATCGGGTTATAGACAGATCACACACATTACATTCATTACGGCAACGAGGTCCGACACCTCAGACAGTTTTATATTTCTGTAGGTTTGACTGACGGTCACAATACTGACCAGGTGCGGACTTGGGCCCCTAGACACTAACAACCCCTTAAAAATCCAAACTATATATATATAATTATTGATGTAAATAATGTATGCTGAATATTTAAATATCGGTGTAAAAACACTGAAATGGTGGACACATTACTATAATTTGCTTCGGGCCCACAAATCACAAAATTTGCCCCTGATACTGACATCACTAAGTTCATATTTAAACTTTATGTGGATTATTTTAGTTTACAAGCCAGCGCTTTCGAATCCTGGATGGTGATTGGTCAGAAGGTGTTGATTAGTTTTCTAGAACAGCAGCTCTAACAGTAGCACGTCTGCACATTACAGCTTTATATCATTGCGCTCGTTCTAATACATTATTGTTTCCATAGTAACAGCTAACATTATAGTTATGGGTTGTTGTATTTTGTAGTGTGTAGACTTTGTCTTCTCGTGTTTTAAATGATTTCTATAGTTGTCTTTAAGAACATCTTTAGGATTAGCCTTTCCCACAGAGACCAATCCGTGACATCATGGAGACTCTCCAGCTGTCTGGAAGTACTTTAGTGTGTACTGCATTTAAGTGTGTGTGTGTGTGTGTGTGTGTGTGTTCTTCGGCGTGTATTTGATCTTGTATAACACAGAGCAAGCCATCTTTAGAGACCATCAGAGAGAGCAACGCATCATGGTGAATGGTTTCACATTGAAGAGAAAGATAGAGGGATTAACACCAGGCTAATTTGAGAGGTGATGACATCGCTAAACACAGACAGGCCCGAAAGTACGATGAGAGAATCGATAATATTTTTAACATCAAAAGAATAATTGCATCAACGCTATGTCTTATTAAGTCCTGCAGTTCATAATAGGCTTAAGAGGATGTGAGGAATACAGTCATAAGGAACACAAAAGGAATGCTCAAGTCTCATTACACGTGAATTTACAAACTCAATAGATTTCCTAAAATTTCTAGCTGGAGGGGATGAAGACACATGCTAAATAAATTCACCACATGATATATATAATTAAAATGGCAATTATGACCCACTCAAGTATTGTGGGTGGAATTTCAGGAATTGTTTTTTATTATTTAAAGCAGTGTCTATTATTCTATCCAGCAGTCTTGCCATATTGATAACGCTAGTAAGTGTAGGAAATAAAACAGTCAATTCCACTAAAACTAATTAAAATAACATGCTGCTAATATGACGGAAATAACATCTTATATTATGAAACCAGAACGCTGGGGAAAATGCAGGATTCTGATTGGTTAATTCTGTTCCATACAATAACAGGTGTTAGCCAATAAAACATACTTAAACAAAGTAAGGGGCGTGTTTGGCACTGAACTTGTGTGTTACGTTAACCACCAGTGAATGAGAATTTGGGACTGTCATAAAATATTTCAGGGTGGGTTCAAACCTGAACTCCACCCGCTATGTATGCCTCTGGATATGAAAGGTTTTTGTTAATGCTAGTAACTGGAATTACGAATAAATATGTTGGTAAACAACTTGATGAATGAGGCCTTTTGGAGTCAATACTTTAGACATATAATTTTCACGATTCCTTGTTAGCTACTTTAGTCTGAATGAATGTTTTTGGCTTAAACCATTACTTTAATTCACTTAAATATCTGTGAGGAAGCCTTGTTAAAATATCTCTTTGAACTGTGTGTGTATGCGTATGAGTGTGTGTGTATGTCTGTGTGTTTTCATAATCACACACTCGTCGTGTCTCTATGTATATATAATCTTGTCCTTGCCGGTCAATGTCTAAGATTTCTGGCACCAAAACAACGTCACGCCAGCTATTCCAGGCTCGAAGGCCACATAACAGAGCAGGCTAGGGTGATGCCAACAGGTGCATTATGGGTAGGAATGGGTGTCATTACTTGGTAGGACCCCCCTTGGGTTTGAACATACAGCCTGCTGATGATGCTTTAGAGTGGTGAGACAAGGACCAGGAATGCTATTGCACCCTAATGAGAGTAAAAGGATTAAGCATGAACTATGGATCTTAGAGAAGAGAAAGAGAGAGAGAGTGAAAGTAATTTGTTACCATTTTTTTCTTAAATCACTTACTGCATCTATGTACTATAAACATTATATTTTTCCTTTTATTGGCGCACGGTGGCTTAGTGGTTAGCACGCTCGCCTCGCGTCACACCTGGGTGATCTGGGGTTCAATTCCCGCCGGGGCTGTGTGTGTGGAGTTTGCATGTTCTCCCCGTGCTGCGGGGGTTTCCTCCGGGTACTCCGGTTTCCTCACCCAGTCCAAAGACATGCTTGGTAGGTTGGTAAATTGTCCATAGTGTATGAATGGGTGTGTGTGTATGTGATTGTGCCCTGCGACCCTGAAGAGGGAATAAGATGTTGAAGATGGATGGTATCCTTTTATCCTCACCTGTCTGCAAGACATTATATAAATGAATAAAATTATACATTGTAAAAGTTATTATTATTATTATTATTATTATAGGTAGAAGAAAGCTGAGTAAATATCAGAGGTGATACATGTTGAGAGATAAATATTTTTGCAATTTATGACCCTTTTTCTTTTCCATATTCAGTGTCTAATATGTAAAGTATCTACGATTTGTACTCTATTATTGTGATGTCATCATGTTTTAAGCGTTTTATTTATGTGGGGAAAAAAACATTACACAGCAAAGTATTGATGATCAAAAGCTTTAATAACATTAAAAAATGTAATGTGAAGTAACGTTTTCAGACACAGGAAAGAAAACTAGAGTTTTGGTTTGAAACACTGCAGAGTTTTGAATTAAGATCGTTCAAAAAAGGACATGAAAATGTATACGTTCAGCATACCGTAATGAGATAAAGCCCTTTAAAGAGAAATAAAGCACAGTGTTTCTACTCTAAATAAGTAACAAGTCCACTTATATACTCCAGATGTTTCTTCACCAAATAACTGGACAACATTTAATGTTGTTCTTCTTGGGAGGGATGTCGTGTACAGATTATGCACATTATCACATCAGAAAATCATACTGAAATTATAATATAGTTACATTACTGTCCCTCAAACACCAACCGAGTGGCACTTTTAAGAAGAGAGAAAAAAGAAGGAAAAGCAAAAATTCTAAAACAATCCCAAATTCAAATATGATGATAGAAAACAATGGAGAAATTAATAAAGTTTGCAGGCACTATATTGTCTATATTATACTCCAAACGTTTTAGTATTTACATCAACACTGTTACAGTAAATTATTACGAGTTTACAGCAAGATCCCAGATTTTTACCTTTTCATTTTTTCTTTAAATTCAAGTTTGTAATACAATGCGTATATATATAGAACGAAATACACAAAGAAGTTTGAGACAGACTGAAGTGTGAGACGGTACAAAAAATATGAAAGATGGAAACATTCCATAAGGACAAAGGTCAAAGGTGAAACTTTTACTGTGTCCATCCCTCCAGCTCACATGATCACGGTTTCTGTGTACAAACTGTAATTACTGAAACGCTGCTTGGTTCTACCGGCAGGGCTGAGCGAGCGGGATCTAGGAGCAATGGGCGTGGTTATTGTAGGTGTTGGGGTTTGGCTTGCCCAACGAGATGGTGGCCGCTGATTGGTTGGCCGAGCCGGACGAGAGAAGCTCCTTCTGGGTGCAGTGGGGGAGGAGTCATGGCTCGCCTAGAGGAATAAAAAGACATCAGGAACGAGTGAATGTTTAACTCGCCCTTGAAGAAGATTTCAGTTTTAGCAAATATTGTTTAACCCCCCTCACCTGGTGTGGTGATGGTGTGTTCCTTGGTGATGGTGTAGAGCAATTACTCAGAATCCTCTCTGCCATCTTGAAGTCAGTATGTAGATTGTCCGTACCCCAGTGGGAGGTCTTGACACCCACTTTTGCACCCCTGTGTTCCCAGTTCTGAGGTGTTACAGGCACATCATTATCCTTGACGGGCGCCTGCTTGGACCCCCGGTTTCCACCAGACTTCGGCGACTTGGGCACCAATTTGGGCACCAATGTGATTACAATTCCATCCTCATTCAGCGTTTTCCCTTCATTTTCTTGCAACATGGCACCGAATTTCCTCAGGACAGATGGGCTACCGCACCTCCGGTCCACTAGAGGGCATTTGAGTGCGTCGGAATAGTGTGCAGGGCGAGCGGGGACATGGGGACTCTCTCTATGCTTGATTGGCGGTTTACTGCCTGATTTTTCAGTGGAGGTGACCTGGTCTTTCCAGCTGACATGTCGGACTTGTGCTTCTTCCCAAGCTGAGCCTTTGTTCTTTCTGTTCAGTGCTTCCTCAAATTCGCCCAGTGACACACAGCCAGTCCTGCAGCAGAGAGGATACCCCAAACAACTAATCAGAGATAACAACTGGCTAGCAGGAAATCCCTTATTTATAACTGAGATACACTGTTTAAACGTGTAAGAAAAGGACATGCGCCTTGTGTTTCATTCAGAAGTCAGCTCCCTACATAGGTGGCCTACATAGGGGGAATATTAAAGACTGTCCCATCAGGAAGGCTGCATTTATTTAGCCAAATTCTGAAAGCAGTGTTTGTTTTTTCTTGAATTAGGTGATCCCATTCTTTCAGCAAATATCAAAACTCCTCCCACCGATGAATCGTTTAAAAAAATCACTTTCTTTGTTTGTTTTGTTAATATTTGTAGCGTATCAGAAGTTGTTCTGTTCTAATGTCACCTCTGTAGCTAGCTTATGCAGTTACCATGCTAGCTTCTCTCATGGGTTCTCCTTCATGCCATCACGCCCTACATTCAGACTAACAAATGACAAAGCAACAGGCGACTGTTGACTGTTCACACATAACTGCTAACGTTTTGGACTTATATTAGTTAAGAGTCGTTGTTTAAGACACAAACCTGCCACTCACTGGCCACTGATGACTTCCCTTCTGATTCTGGATGGAGCTCTGAAAGACAGACAGAGAAAATGGACAAATCACCAGTCAAAACTATGAACTTGATACTGTAAAGACAGAATAAAAGTCCTGGATGCTCACCATACTTGGAGCTCCGTGTGGTTTCTCTCGGCTTTGGTTCAAACTCCCACTTTCTATACCGAGGTAACTGTCCAGAATGTCTAACATCACATCCTGGCCATTAACAGTGTAGCTTTGAGGACCGCACAAGCCGTTGTTCTGATGATTAACACCAAAACTGCACACGTCACTAGTGTAATGAGTCGGGTGTTTAAAGGTCTTGTGTTGCACAGGGATGCTGTTTATATTTCCACCATGGTAACTGTTGTTAGGGTAACCACTGGTGTTGTTGACAGGATGTAAGGTGATGTCCAGCTGCGTGTTAGAGTTTGGGTTGATCTCACTGGTTCCCCTGCGTGCTTCCACCACCTTATATAACTGCAACACACACACACACACACAGCATAAGGCGAACCATCACATGGTATCATTACACACGGCCTGTGTGTGCGTAGCAGGTGCATTATTTGTTATCGTGTCTGTGTGTGTGTGTGTGTGTATGTATGTGTGTGTGAGCACCCTAACAGCTGACTCCCTGTGAGTTCAGTAAGATAGTTAACACAGTAACACGTCTTCACATCCGCACTGCTAACACACTAACACAACAAGTGTGTGTATGTACGAGTGTCCATTCCAACGTTATTAAATTTGTTCGTATCCACTTTCAGTGAGTGTGTGTGTGTGTGTGTGTGAATATGGGCGGAGCTATTCTTACACACATAAACACACTCTAGGACACACGCTCTGCCAGCTACAGAGATAGACACACTGTGTTGCCAACTCTGGGGGGTCAAAACCCATTCGACCAATCAGAAACCCCGTCCTGTTACCGCAGAGTAGAAACAACAACAACAACAACAACAGGACAGTTCTGTGGAGCGTCTGCAGAAAGCGCTGTAGCTCATTGGACTGTTTATTAGGTGTTTGCTTATGTAAGTGAAGTTTGTGAGTCTGTTCTCATTGTTGTTTGGTTGATGTTTGTTAGTATTTGTGTGCTGTGTATTGCTGTTAATGTGTAGTTTGTGTTTGTTAGTATGTATTAGTGTTTGTTGGATTTCTAAGTGTTGTTTAGCACTACAATTTTTGTTTACTGTTAGTAGTTGTATAGCTAATACCATTTTGCCGGTATTAGCAGAAATAGGTGTTTGTTGATGATTAGTATTTAGTTATGTTAACGTTTGCTGGCGTTAGAGGGTTAGTGTTTATTTATGTTTGTTGCCAGTGTTTCTGTTACCATCATTTGTTTGTGTATTGTGCAGGTAATTGTTGGTATTTATTCAGTGTTTGCTGTTGAGTGGTGTTTGTTAGTTTTGCTTGTGTTTGCTGGAGGGAATTACGAGATGATATCATTGAATTTTTCTAGCTGGTTGTTGAGTGGTGTTTGTTTGTTTGTTTGTTTGTTTGTTTGTTTGTCTCACCTCTTCAATCTTCCTCTGCACTTCCTGCAGTTGCTCCTCCCACAGCTGCACCTCTGAGTCGAAGGAGTCGAACGAGTCTCCGCTCCACACACACACTCCAGGATCCACTCCACAGTGCAGGTCCAGGGCAGCCATCATGCGCTCTGTGTGTGTGTCTGTGTGTTGCACTGATGTGTCGAGATCAGCTGTATATCAGAATGGGAGGTTCTGAAAGAGAGAAACACAGTGAAATAGAGACGGTCAGTACTCTAAACCCCAGGGGGTGTTTATTCTGCTCTGTCCCTTCCTTCTGACCAACATGTCAGTGTTTCCTGACTGAGAGAAGGGAGGAAAAGAGAAGAAAGAAGGAAATTTGAAAAGGGGGAAAAGTGCAAAGTTAAGAAAGAGGGGAAAAAGAAACAGAAGAAAGGTAGAAAAGGTAAAGAAGGTGAAGGGTTAAAAAAAATAGGAGAGAGGCAGTAATGGAGCAAGAAAAGTGGAATGGGAAAGGGGGAAAGGGATGAAAGGGGAAGGGTACAGGGAAAAAAATAAAGAGTAAAAAGGACCAGAAAGAAATGTGCAAAAGGGAAATAGAGGAAATTATGAACGGGGGGGGATAAAGTTGGAAAAAGGGAAAAATATCAGAAAAGTGGAGAGAAAAGGGAAAATGTAGAAGGAGGCAAATAGGAGGCAGACATCAGGAAAGGTGGAAAGGAAACTCTAAAAACAGGAAATGGGAGAAAGGTCAGAAAGAGTAAAAGAGCAAAACAGTGGTGGAGAAATGGGAAAAGAGTCAATAGTAATGATGGGAACAAATGGG